AAACTCACTAACCATCCCATTCTTTACACTCATCTGTTCTTGTTTTATTCTCCATAGTCTAGCATAGCAGCTATATATCAGTGAACACTAGGAAATTAAATACAGAAAGGCTTTTTTTTTCTTTTTTTGTAGTTTCTACTAAATGTGTACTTCCACTGTTGACCTGCTTTACATGTTACAAACAATTTGGACTCATGTAGCCAAACTTTGCAGATTGACCAGGGACTTGGATCCTCTGTGCACCTCCTGAGTGCATCATTCCCATCCAGCTGGATGGATGATAGAACCAGGGTTTTGTCCCTCCTGTCCAATTGGGATGTGGCTGTTCTTCATCCTTCCCAGACCCCTTTGCAATCTGACTTTCTGATTACTTCAGATTTACTGCTGTTGTTGCTTCAGTTTGAGAATCATTTCATTAACTCAGTGAAGGAGGATCAAAGGAAGATTTAGGATTTATTAATGTATGTTTCTTAGGTTTGCTGTATTTTAGCCTGCTCTGGGTTTTGCTGTGATTAGAACCACAACAGTGTTGGCTACTCAGAATTTCCCTTGGGACCATCAAGTTTTGCCTGGAGCCAGGGTGTAAGCTCTCCGTTACCCGTGCAAACTCTGGACAGCTGTCGTGGTTTAAACCCAGCCACGCAGCTCGTTCACTCACTCCCCCCCTTCTTTCCCTCCCCCACTCCCGGAGGGAGGGAAAGGAGAATCAAAAAGAATGCAACTCCCACGGGTTGAGATAAGAACAGTTTAGTAACTAAGGTATAACACAGATCACCGCTGCTACCACCAATAATAACAATGATAAAGGAAATAACAAGGGAAGAGAATACAACACCTCAGCACCAACCAACCAATAACTTGGCCCCCAAGCCCGACCAAGCTCTGACCGATACCTCCTCCAACCCCGCAGTCCCAGCCCTTCCGGGTAACTCCCAGTTACATCCTGGGCATGACGTGCTGTGGTATGGAATACCCCTTTGGTCAGTTTGGGTCAGGTGTCCTGTCTCTGCTTCCTCTCAGCTTCCCCTCCTCCCTGGCAGAGCATGAGGCTCACAAAGCCCTTGGCCAAACCAAAACATCCTTGTTATCAGCTCTGTTCCCGAGCTGAAAGTCAAAACACTGCACTGCACCAGCTACCGAGGAGGAGAAACATGACTGCTACTGCTGAACCCAGGACAACAGCCCTTCCAGTTTGCAGACAAAAAGCAACTTTGTTCTTATGTTGCTATGCAAGAGATAACCAGAAAGCTGGTTAGAAAACACAGAGTTTCAGTCTTGTGAGAAATTTCCTCATCTTTATATTTGCATTTGTTCTGCATCAGAATAAATCCAAATATTTTTGATATTTCAATCAGAGTGACATTCTTAAATATATTTTTTCAGTATTTTATTTGTTTTCTGTCTAGGTTTTTAAGTGTTTAAATTAATATTGTTGTTTCCTTTTCTCACAACACAGAAGTATTGCATGACTTGGCTTGTCTTTAAAATAGCTTATTTCAAAATAATTCAGGACAGCTGCTTTCAAGTGATTGAGTCATCCCATCTTCTGGATTAGAATCTCTTGTTTGTTTTGTAATGAGATGGTTCAACACTTGGAACAAGAAAATCAGATAAGTACTCAGCATGCCAACTAGAAGAGCAGGTGGTTTGTTCAGCGTCCTTCTTATTCCAGGAAAGAGATGTATTTCTTCTCCAGATGTGTTTCTGTGCCTGTACTCCAGAGTTAGAAATTTCCATAGTTTCTTGTTGAATTTTTTCAGTGTCCGATTCCCTGAGATTTCTCTTGCTTCAGAAATTCTAACTTAAATCAAGTAAGAAGGTGGCAACTTCTCAGTATCTTCTTTTCACCCGATTATAATCTGATATATGTTGCATTTATACGTGATAGCCAACATAAAAGTCGTACATAACAACACCTTTTCTTTCTGTAAGAGAAACTCTTCTGCCACAGAGGCAGAAACACAAATACATTTGGTGTGGTCCTTCCCAGATATTGCAGTAAGGATGTGCTTCTAAGCGACATGATCTGGTTGAAGATGTCCCTGCTCACTGCAGAGGGTTGGACTGTATGAGCTTTGACAGTCCCTTCCAACCCAGACTGTTCTTTGACTCTATGAAATACCAGCAACTTCCGTAACTGGAGATGATCCTGGCTATGAGCAGTGCAGAGCTGGATGGGCAGTGTGCTGGATGTGTCCCGGGTCAGGAGGGAGCAGGCAGCCAGCACTGCACAGGACTTCTTTGACAAGGAGAGATGTAGTTGTAGCTGGAATTGCCTTGAACACTGCCAGGGATGGGGCAGCCACAGCTTCTCTGGGCACCCTGGGCCAGGGCCTCAGCACCCTCACAGGGAAGAGCTTCTGCCTAAGAGCTCATCTCAGTCTCCCCTTTGGCAGGTTAAAGCCATTCCCCTTGGCCTGTCCCTACATCCCTTGTCCCAAGCCCCTCTCCAGCTTTCCTGCAGCCCCTTTAGGCACTGGAGCTGCTCTGAGGTCTCCCCTTCAGGAGCCTTCTCTTCTCCAGGTGGTATTTTGCACTATCATTCTCCTGTTCTCTGTGTCATTCAGGTCCTGTTGCTGTGTTCAAGGTAACATGTTTTGTGGACAAGGATCACTGTTTTCTGAATGTCTGCACATCCCCTGCTTTAGCAAGGTTCATATCATAGAGCCTGCTGCAGGAATAAGGATCTCACAATATGATAGTGCCATGGATCTCTCTTTACTGCACTTTACATATTCTCAAAACTAGTTAGAGTCAATGCTGGGGTCTGAGTTGAGAGAGCAGTCATCCTGAAAACTGCCACACTGTAATCTCCAGTTGTGGATGTTCTCCCTCTTAAGTACAGTTTTCTCTTTTCCCACTCGTTGTGAGTTGGCCCGAGTTGTTTTAAGCTCCCTTCTACTCCCTTCTGTAGTCAACAGGAACAAGAAAAGCTGTTGAAGTGGTTTAGGTTTTTTAATCAGTGTCTTTCCTCCTCCCCTGAAAGCTTTTCTAGCTCTATTTGCCTTAAGGGAACAGGGTTTTTAATGAAGAAAAACAACTGTTTTTTGTAGTGATTTTAGAGCTGGTGAAGGTCGCTGAGTGCTTTTATTTATATGGAGATCAAGGACAAGTGCATCTTCCATTTATGTTTATAGTCTGCTTGAGAATAAATCCCCCTGATTTCACAAAGGCACTCTCTGGGAATCCTGTGCATGTGGTTCAAGCTGTGAGCAGTAGGAAGTTCCCTTTCATTTTCCCCAAGCCCCTGCTTTGCTGATTCACCTATGGGATGTATGGAATTGCTATTTCTCTACCGCTTGATTTGCAAACAGAGCACACATCAGTTCACTCCTGCCTCACAGCTTAAATACATTTTTCTTTCTGGACTTGGCTATGGCATTGACTGGGTCATGTCTCACGTTAAGGTCTTTGGTGCTCACTCCAACTCTGATGGTGGTTTTGCACAGATTCTCTTGCCTTGCAGTACCTTGATGCAATAAGAACTGTGGGAATATTGTCCCAGGCCATGTGCATTGCATGGTCCTCACCTTAACTAAGGAGAAGGAGCCAGGGTAAAGATTTCTCCTTCCTGCATGACTTTGCTTGGTTCGATGACCACTGTGCTGAGATCTCTTTCTCGGGCTTCTGGTGAATAATAAGAATTTAAAACCAGGCCCTAATTCCTGCTTTTGTAATTTCTTGCTGCTCTGTGGGTCTGGTGTGATTCATGGCCCTTCCCATTTGTGCTGCCTCATCTTGGGTGTAGCACAGTCTAAACCATTTTCTTTCCAAATCATGGGGTTCACCCTCACACCTCCTCTGGTGCCAGGAGCATCAGCCTTTGTCTCTATTTATCCAGTTATTATTAAAGTCTCCCTTTTTAAGCATTGTATATTTATTTTTGCTCAAAATGCACCAATTTCCATCTGCATAAAGCAACTTAAAATTTTTCAAAGGCTGTTTCAGCAAAGCTGGGAATAGCATTCTGTGGAGTCCTTCATAAAAAATTGAAGACTTGGTGTATTAACATACATTGATTTATTCATAGTGTTTCATTACAAATAAGCGAGGAACCCATAATATCAGGAGAGGTTAGGAGAGCACCGGAGCACGTTACATTATATTGACAGCTCAGTGGAAATTGAGCTGCCTTTGGATTGAATTTGAAACGCAGGCAAGGAACTGGCTGGTAAATAAGTCATGAGTTTTACTTGCAGGTGTCTGTATGTCACCAGGGGGGCCGTGGGGAAGCATAATGGAGCTCGAGCATATTCCAGAGGTGAGCTTTCAGCCTGGAGTGCTCTGAAGGTGTGTTAGCTCCAGCCGCGTGTGTTTGCATGAGCAGCTCTCCAGGCCTGTAACCTGCTGACTTGTTCTCTCAGGCAAAAACCGGGCACGATGCCATGGGTAAACCTGCAGGCTGAGGCTCAGCACGGGGAGGGAGATGCTATCCAAAGCTGACTTACAAATCAGAGAAGAGAAGGGCTTTGGTCTAAGGACTTGATGATATTTATTTCATTTAAATTCATTTAATTTCATAAATGAAAGGACTTCCCCAGACTTTGTTGTCATTCCCATTGTTTTCAGCAGCCTCAGGAGAAGCCCATTTATGAGAGGAAAGAAGAAAACTTGATGGATAATGTTTTCATGTGCGGGGGAAGGGTTTTACGGGAAGGTCTCATGGAAGTCCTTCCCCTTGTGCTGTGTGCTCTGGGTTGGCTGCAGAAGTTCTGAGCTTCGGAACCAAAAGCAGTTCTGTGCGTTTTTGTTGTAAATTGGCTCATGCTGAGGTTTTAGTGGAGAGAAGAAATGCGTTTTTCTCTAAGTAAAGCCTTGGAAAAATTGTTGTGTTTGTTTGGCAGCATCCAAATACAGAACCATGCACTGGAGATGCTGAAGTTGCATCTGTTCTTGTGTTTTTGATGTCCAGTCTCCAGGGATAGCAAAATGGGGGAGCAAAGAAAGACCAGCTGCAGCAGGCTCCTTATCTCCTGACCTTGCTTGTTCTTCATTTGCAGATCACATACAAGGCCGTTGGGTCTCTGGATCCCAGTGCTGACCTGTCCAGCCAAAGAGGGAAAGTCTTCAAGCTAAGGAATGAAACACATCACCTCTTTGTAGGATTATACCCAGGGACTACATATTCATTCACCATCAAAGCCAGCACAGTCAAGGGCTTTGGGCCACCCATCACAACACGGATTGCAACCAAGATTTCAGGTACTGCTTTGGAGAGAAATAAAAAAGAACTTTCTAGGGCTTTGTTCTTTAGACCCCGAGCTGAATAGAAAGATTGTCAGCCTAGTGTCTCTACTAGTTTCATATTGCAAATCTTTAAACCAGGCACAGTCCAGCCTCTCTGTTTGTTTGGGTTACAAATGCAGTGGTTAATTTGAGGATATCTTCAATATCTGTGAGCATCTTTATGGAGCATTTTAAATTAGAACCTTCATTAGTTCTACAAATGAATGTTCCCTGTAATAATTGTTGGTATTATCTGCGTGGCTGAGGAAGCTCCTTCAATAATGTGGCATTTCTTTTCAGAATGCACTGGAATGGATGTAATGAAGTATTTGAATTAATAGTGCAAGGAGCCTAAAAATAAAAGAGGAAAGCTGGTTTTATGTTTCCTTTCTGAGCAAGGGCAGAGAGGAGCCTTGAGGTAGGCAGGCGAGTATATGAGAGGGATTAAAATCAGGAGGCATTGCAAAGAAAAAGTGCATGTGTGTCTAGGAAAAAGAAAGGAAACTTAGGCTGACTGTTGAAAAAAAAGATAGATAAGGGTTAGAAATAATATTGGGCAGATATATGTAAACTTGAATTTTACCGTTTAATTGTTAGCATTAAGGTAGGCTCTCTAACAGAGTTTAAGACATTAATTTATTTTTAATACCTTGACTGTTATTTCAGTAAAGTCAAAAAAGAATGTTTGGGACATTAGGGACAATTGTAATGCTTGAAATTATGCCTGGGTATGGTAGAAAAGAGTGCACAAGAGTCTGTGTTTCCCATTGCCTTATCTCAAAACTGGTTAATAAAAAAGAGTTGTTAGCAGTAACTGACAGTGTAAACTGTAAGGCAGTAAAATATATCTGTTCCCTGCACTGGCCATCAGCAGGGTGTGAACACTGAACATCCAGTGCAAAAGCCCATGGTCAGTCCTATACGATAAACTTGCTCCCAGAGCAGTACCTGAGGTTAGTTGGGAGAAGAATGATTTTTGGATTGACTGGGATGTCCTTGGAAGACTGCTCTAAAATGAAAAGACATATGTGCTGTAGCAATGTGTGAGTGTATGTGTTTATGTGGGTGGACATGTTTGTTTATGTCCTAATCGCAGTTAAATGGCAGAACTCGTGAGGATTTCTCCTTGGGCAGGACTGGGATCTTGTAAAACAGGCATTAAATTGATGAGCAGTGTTGGTAATGGAGAGAGAGCACTGCCAACTGGAGTTTTAAAGAGGTACTACACAGCTGCTCCACGTTGAGCACGCAGGAAAACTACTTCATCTTACTTCAGTGTCTTGTGACTAATACAGATCGATAAATGAATTACAGACTCTGACTGGTTTGTGTTGGAAGGGACCTTAAAGCTCATCCAGTTCCACAGGCAGGGACACCTTCCACTAGAGCAGCTTGCTCCAAGCCCCTGTGTCCAACCTGCCCTTGAACACTGCCAGGGATGGGGCAGCCACAGCTTCTCTGGGCACCCTGTGCCAGGGCCTCAGCACCCTCACAGGGAAGAGCTTCTGCCTAAGAGCTCATCTCAGTCTCCCCTCTGGCAGGTTAAAGCCATTCCCCTTGTTCTGTCCCTACAGGCCCTTGTCCCAAGCCCCTCTCCAGGTTTCCTGCAGCCCCTTTAGGCCCTGGAGCTGCTCTGAGGTCTCCCCTTCAGGAGCCTTCTCTTCTCCAGGCTGAACTAGCCCAGCTCTCTCGTGCTCAGTGTTGCACAGTTACGGTAATACCTTCAGCTAGTCAAGGCTGCCAAGACCTATGCTTTTGCATTTACTTTTCATTGTATGTGTCTGAAAGTAAGATTGTAAATGCTCTGCATTTACCGCAGGCAAACGTTTTACAGCAGGCAGGGTGTTTTACACAGAGGATAACTGAAGAGGTCAGAAGGAGCCACCCAAGCTAGCTGGCATAGCAGAGACAGTTGCGTGGCCCAGTGCGTGCTGCAGTTAGACTAGAAGAAGCTGCTTCAAAGGAGGGTGATGGAGCCTGCAAAGGCAGAGCCCAGCCTGTTTCTGGTGCCCAAACTGGCTTTGCAACCTGTTTGTAGTATTGCGTCGGCCGTAGCGCCATCCCCTCTGGTCAGAGCAGGTGCTAAACAGTTCTTGTGGGTGGCATCTCCAGCAGCTGCAGTGATCTCTGGTACAGAAGACCACTGGTAACACGCATCTTCTTTAAATGACGCACACTGCTTCCCCTTGGTGCCGAGCACCTTGTTCAGAAAAGTCCTCATTAAGGAGCTGGCATTCATGCTGAACTCATTGCCAGCTTATTGACCGGGAAGTCCGTGGCTGAGCTGATAATAGCAACCACCATTCTTGACAGTTTTCAGGCATTTAGATAAAAATCCTGATTATAAACAGGATTACAGTGGAAAGCTCTGTGAGAGGATTAAAGAAGGGCTCTCCGCGATGCAGCTTGCCCTTGTGAGTTACAGATGAACTAGCTGTGTGAATTCCTCTGTTTGCTCTGTGCTTCAAAGCTGTTTCAACAAAACTTGCATCTTTGGAATAAATTTGGTGCTGCTCTGATCTCGTGATTTCTTCAGTTCTTCCACAGTCAAAATTGCCCCAAACAGATGTCTGCTGTGGAGGAAGCAAGAAGGAATGTAATAATGTTTCCGTTTCCAAAGGGAAGCTACTCTACTTTCATGAAATGATCCTAATAGAAGATAACAAAGCAGAAGTAGAAACTAGACTTTGGCTAAGTGTGAATATTCAGTGGGTTGCTCTGTTGCTTTGGGAAGCACCGAGCACGCTGTTGGAATTCTGCCTGGTGATTCAACATCACTAAAGCGTTGGGGTAAAATGTCATGGGTTGGAGTGCTAAAATAACCTGGCTAATTTGGGCTTCTCTCTTTTCATCTTTCGTGCTTCATAACACACCCTCCAGCTAATGAAGGAGATACAGTTTAAGTCTCTGTGTTAAAAATTCTTGAGTTGTGGGGGGCTAATCCAATGACCTGAACAGTGAATAAGGGCCAGGTTTCCTGGGTGCTGTTCTTAGCTCTGCCGTTGACTCCCTCATCCTAAGTGGCCTTTAATAATGTCCAGGCAGTTTCTCTCTTCCCCTTTAAAATCAAAGGAATGATCCCATCTCAAAGGATTATTAAATGTTAAAAATTCCAGACAGGATTTTTGAAGCCATCTGGAAGATTCATGTGTGCGATTCCTGTTTAATTTTAATAGGAAGAGTGTACAAATATTTAAGCAATTTTGACAATTTTGGGCATAATATTGGGAAGCATTTTGATGTTTCTTTTGAGAAATGTTAAACTGTCTCCAAGAACTGTTACTATCATGTTGCCATCACTACCCAAGGCAGTAGCTGAAGTATAACTAACGTGTTGCTCTTTGTTCTGCTTTAGCACCATCAATGCCAGAGTACGACACAGACTCACCCCTGAATGAGACTGACACGACCATCACCGTCATGCTGAAGCCCGCTCAGTCCCGGGGTGCTCCTGTCAGGTAGGTCTTTCCCCTTCTCCTTTCACAGTTCTCCCCTCTCCGTTCTCCCTAGGCTTTGCTCACTCCTCTCTCATTCGTGCTTGATAATGTAGCTGCTGGCTCAAAGGCCAACTCTGCTGTTGATTCTGCCTTTCACAGGCTCCTTTTATCAATGCCTCAACCTGCTTGCCTCCTGCTGTTAACCTCCAGGAAGGATGCTGATAGCCTTGCACGGGGTTATTACCCTTTCAGCATCACTTCAGATGCGTTTGCAGCACTGAAGTACATTGGTAGCGCATCTCTGTGCTGTGCTGCTGGGAATTCAGCATCGCCATGAAAAGGTGGAGGAGGCTTCAGGCCTCCACCTCCTGCCCTCCCTCTTGGGGCCTTTTTGTAATTATCGTAGGAATGTGAGCATTATCTTTAATGCTTGTGGATGCTTTTGTCCAGATTCTGGATCTAACCGCACTCCTCGGGTTATAATCAAGATGTTGTTGCTGGGTTGGTTGTGGAATGAAGTACTCATCTGGTCCACAAAAGGTGAACTCTGGTGTAGCGAGGCTTTGCCAGTTGTAGGCAGCTTCCACTGGCAGAGAGGATTTAGGGCCAGGAAGCTGCACAGGCACCTGTGGAACAAAGTGGGGACCTTGCCAAAAACATTTCTGGCTGTCTCTGGGCTGGGTCCATGTTCTTACTGATGAGCTACAGCAGTGGGGCTCTCAACTGCAGATCACTGACTGTGGGAACATGACTCACAGAAGCGTCTTTCATTGCTCTCTTCCATCCAGGTGAGTTTGTACATGGTGGAAGGCACCAGCACAAATGAACCCTTTGAGCTGGCACTCAGTGGCAGAAGTGCCAGTTGGTCATTCATCCTGCCAGTCTCCTCAGCTGAGAGCAGGAATTTGAATCCCTTATAAAAGTGTCTGCTTTGCAGTGGAATCCAGCAGCCATCAGCTCCCTGGAGGCTCCTCAGGCTTTTACCTCCAGTTTTCACAGGAGGCTTTTGAATTTTTTCCTGTGGGTGGCATTTTAAAAGCCCAGAGACCCTTTCCAAGTGACTTGGGTTCCTAAACCCCACTGAGAGGTTCTTTGTGCTTTTGAAAGATGTCCCACAAAGTACTTGGGAGCAGATTGCTCAGACGTGAACTACCTATTCTAATGAAACAATGAGTTGGTGGCCTGCTGTCACAGCTCTCCCCCAGACTGCATTGATAATTTCAAGCAAAATCTCTGCTCTCTCACACTTAGCACCATCCCTTTTTGACTGGTTCTGAATAATGTATTTTAAACTTTCCCTTGCAATCTCTGGTACTCCGTATAAGCGAATTTAGGAGCCTATTTTCTGAGTCCTTTAGAGATGATTTTGTGCTGGAAAAGAGCAGTAAAATCGCACAGCTCTGTTTTGTTTTATTTCTTTATATGGGGGAACATTCTTATATCTCGTTTTACCACCTGCTGTGTTAAAAGTGTTGCTATTTTGTCTTTTTATTGAAAAGTCTTGTGATTTTTCTCCAAGTCAATTTACCAGCCTTTAACTGCATTCAGCGAGTAATGTCTTTCGCAGAAAATGCATCTGTTATAAAATATTTGGTAGAGATCTTTAGAAGTGTTCACTGTGTTTTTTTTAATTGTGTCGTAGCCTGTTCTGCACACGTTTGCAGGGAGTGCGGTATTTACATGCCACATCGAAGTGATAACGTTATTTCCTATTATGAGCTCATTTAATTGACTTACAGACATGTGTATGAAAACCGGAATAGACAAGGGGGGGGGGGCAAAGAAGAGAGGGTCTTGGGGTGAATTGTAGCTTTTTATTAACTGTGACAGGCTCAGAATGTGTGAATACCTTTCCCTGTAAACACAGAGACTGTTCTAAGTCTGGCTTCAACAAATCCAGTTGGTTCAACCTTAGATTTTCTCGACCTTTTCCCTTTTCTCTCAGCCCGTTCTGCACACGCTCCAATTTGTGTGAATTCTCTCCAAATACCGCAGCCAAAAGCAGGTAGCATTCCCTCGGTGGCCTCGGTAGCACCTGACAGATTAGAATAGCGTACTGTGAAGTGCTTGTGACACTCGTACCACACAAGAATGAGGCGGTCTTTCCTCCTCAGTGTGTTTTTTGTATTCCAGCTGAGATCCACTATATCCTCTTTGTTGTTGTCTGGTTAGTTGTGCTGCCTTTTGCTTGTGTATGATTTATTTCTCCTTCACAAGTGTAGTATTTTGCATTCATTGCTATTAAATATGATAAAATTGATTTTCAGAATGCTTTAAAAATCCTGATACAAACTTCAGTGAGTCGGAGCCCCTCCTACAGGCTGCCCAGAGCAATGCTGGAGTCACCATCCCCAGAAGTGTTCACATGCTGTGTAGACGAGAGCCTCAGTGACATGGGTTAGTTTTGGCCTTCACAGTGCTGGGGAACAGTTGGACTTGGTGATCTTAAAGGTCTTTTGCAACCTGTTTGATTCTATGATTCTTAGTCAGATGCCATCCGCTGCTCAGTTACCAAAGGCATTAATGCAGACACAGATTGAAGACAAAAGACTGGGAAGTGTCCGTGTGCAGCAGTGAGGTGGTGCCGAGGTCACTGGAGGGGATCCCATATGATGCAGCATCCTGTAGGATGCCCCTTCTCCTGGCCTCCCTTGTAGACATGACCATGCTTTCCTAGACCCCCTTCCTGAGAGGGGTCTGCAAAGCTACTTGGCATTAGTCTGAAATGGATTTTCCTCACACCTTCTTATAAAACCTTCAATATTGAGATATTTCGCTCTGCAGAAATAGGTCAACCCTTCATCTCATCAACCTGACAATTTCTGTTCTGCAGTGCTCCAGGTTTTTATTATAATCCTTCCAAACTGTGAAGATGAAAATAGTATCGCTGTACAGTAATTATTCTTCATATTTCATCTCATATGCAGGGGGTGGTGGCTTGGAGTACCTGTGGAGTGTGACTGTAGGCCAGTGTCCATGCAGAAGATAGTTCTGTGTCTTTGTCTTGTGGTGTTTCACTGTGCTGGGGTCTGAGCAGCATACAGATAGATTAGGGGCTGCAAGATCATTTTTAGAGTAATAGTGGAGAATATTTGAAACAAGATTCATTGTCTCCCCATTCATCTGAAATGCAGGCATACCAAATGCAAAGTCACTTTCGACATTAAGACGTTTCTGATGTTCCCCAGAGCTCATGATAAATAACTTAAATGAGGTTCTTCAGAAAACTAATGATCATGATCTCAGCATTGTTAATGATCTATAGATAACAGTGAAGATGCTTTCGTATAAACTAATAGGAATAATATACACTTAGATATTCTTTGAAATAGTTTGTCCTATTGCCAAAAGAATGATGCATCAGCAAGCATAAATATTCTCCCTGGTGGCACAGGCATTCCATTCTTGCCTTTATTTTTCCATGGTACAACCTGCAGAGCTTGACTTCACGTTGCCCTTTAAAAATAACTTTCAGGTGTTCTTGTATCAATCTAAAACCTGTGAATGGCGCTGTGATTGATTTGCTGAAGACTGACATTCATCTATAATAAATTCAGAAGAGGAAAGAAGAATGCAAGTGTTCTCAATCTTTACTCCTCAACCCTTTCCTCAAAAATCTCCAATGTGATCTTGAGGATAGTTCTGCCTTTTGCATCTGTTATTGTCAGGAGGGCTGAGTCGGTCCTTCATAGATTATTCACGTATCACATCTTTAGACCTCTATTTGAGAATTTATATCCCATTCACAGCTTGAAAATACCACTGTGAGGGATTTTATCTACATGATATGTCCACTGGGCTGGTTTTTGTGTGTTGGATATTTGAAAGTCCACTTGGTTTGTTAACATGTGGTTGGTTCTGTCAATCCACCTATACTACTGTTATGGACAAAATAAATTCCCAGAGCACGTATTAGTTTTGAGGATTTCAAAGTTTAAATTAATGCTCCACTTAGGGGTGATTTTTTAAGTTTGTCTGGTTTTGAGCTGGAGGAGACTGTAGGAGGACGTAAGAGAAGAGTCTGCAATTATTTTGTGTGGGGTTCAGACAATGGAGAACTTGTTTGTTGGAAAAGGAAGGATTTCATCTCCCTTATCTTCCTGCAGCACTCTGAGGTGTAACAGTAAATAGTCTGTGCTGTTCTTTGTGTGTCTGCCCGCACACAGGTACAGCCTTTAGGCACCTGAGCCCTGTACTGTGCTAAAGAACAGTGTTATTAGCACAGAGATATTCAATCTTTGCACTTGCCTTTATGCATATTTGTTTGGGGATATATATTTATATATATATATATGCTGTGTAGGTTGAATGTTTAAGTGATTCTGGAGAAATGCATTCAGGTAACAGTCATGTGCTGTGTATATGTGTGATGATCAGATACTTGTATTCACTTTGGTGAGGAAGGATGGGAATGTTTATTAATATACATCTTAAAAGGAATTAATAAATCTGAATAGGTGAATGGGACTTTAAATATTTTAGATACATTTAGATGTGCTGAGCAAAGGTGAAACAGGTATTTTCATATTGATAGCCAGCCAGGAGGAGATATTAATTTATATGGGCCAAGCGCCGTGTTACTCTTGAGTATTATCATCTGATTCTTAGGCTCCCGAGTATGAAATAAAGGAAATATTTGTGGTGTACATGATGCTAAAGAGATCAAGAGAAAACAGCTGTAGTATTGTTTAACAGAGACCTAAGAACAGTGGGGTTTTTCTGGTTTTATGTTCAAGCTGTTCTCCAAGCAAGCAATCCTGTATGGTGTATCTGTACACTTCTGCATTCCTACATGTTGTAACAAATGAGAATTTCCTGTGACAAAGGCGAGTGGTGTCACTTCCATTTTATGTTGGAATACTGAGACTTTGACTAGATAAAACTTGTCTTCCATGTCAGTCTGCAGCAAAGTAGAAACTGAAACTCTCTGGAGCCATAGGCTACAACTATGACTTCAGGTAATGCTTATTATCTCCAGAAAGAATTAGCTGCAGATAATTCTTTCTTTTTCTGTGATTTCA